CACCAGCACCAGCAGCAGCAGCGGCAGCGGCAGCGGCAGCGGCAGCAGCAGAAGCAGAAGCAGCGACAACAGCAGCAACAACGACACCACCACCACTTTGGCAAGAAGCATGACCAGCAGGAAGCCTAATGATTTCATGCATCCTGAGGGCGGAGATACCACGACGGAGCCGAAGGATGCCAAGGATCGGAGCATGGCGTCGGCCTGCAAGGGACTTGTACTGCAAGACTTGTAAGAAAGTCTTGCATCTTATGCTGAATCTTGTGAGCATAAAGGCCCACAGAGACTTGGCCCCTCAACCTGCGTCACAGGTCTACATATACGAAAAAGCTTCGGAAACCATGATAAATGCTGGAAAATGATGTAAACATAATGAGAGATGTTGAAGAAGTACACGTCTCCACAAATGAGGACAGGCTTCGCCCAAAAACCGTCGAATTACGGAAGGAGCTCATGTTTAAATCATACTTGGAATCCTGCTGCCACGTTGCTACATATGTATGCAGTTCAGACCGGCTGTACATGCCGAACACCTGGAGAGCAAAAGCGTCTATCTGGTCTACCTCGCCACCCGAAAAATCAGGCAGGTTCATCAGCCGCGTCACACACCCCCCGCAACAGGCATAGGCCGCAAGCAGAAGACTCCGCGCCACCCAGCATGGTTAACCCTCAAGGCTCCGCAAAAGACAGAACAACATCAGGCCCATGTGTCATAGTTTTGCCCTTCTGGCCTCATCACTGGAAGACCAACCAGCCACAACCTGCAAGGGTCCATGCGCGCAGGCTTACGTGAACTAGAGTAACTGCAACAAACAAGTACACGGTTTGGGCTTACTACCCACACTGAGCAGACCATCCAACCAGGGCACTGAAGAGCGTTCAAAGCCCGGCGGGGGATCTTGACAAAGCCGCCTCCAGTCCTGGACATCTCTGCCGGAAGGCTTTTAGGCTTCTGTCAGCTGTCAAGTAACTGAAACCCAAGCTTCGGTCTAAACCCTGCTGGCGCCCGAGTCGAGCCTTAACCTTCTCTGGGATCATCTGCTCGTGAAACAAATGGCTTTTGGCCATGAGGACTTCCACATCCGTGCCATGCCTTGGTCAAGAAGTTCTGCCTTCTATCCAACTGCCACAAGTCCTTCTGAAATTTGCCTCCGAGCGACTTGTTCACCTGCTTTCATAAAGTCGGCTACATTGGCAACAGCGGCTACATATCCTCAGGCCTACCGTTCAACATCGCTCTCCAGCCTTCTCGACAAAGTCGATGATGCGCAAGATGTCCACGAGTGCGGTCGAGCAAAGCGCCTTCTCGTCTTCCAAAGCACGAATTTGCGCTCGGCCTGGGCATGCTCGAATCCAGGAGGAAGCTCCCTGCTCTGGACTTACAGATCCGCTTCGAGCAACAGAGCAACATGCCGCCCAGGGTGGTGCACCCAGCAAGTCACGAGACAGGAGCACTGTTTTGCGGATGAGTCTTGCGTGCTTCGGGAGCCGTTGGCATATAAGATCTAGTCATGTCCAGTCTTCCCGTCTGCTAGAGGCATTCATGTCCAGACGGTGATTTATGTTAGCGAGGCCAACGAGCGACTGAAAGCTAAGGCAAGGAGCTCTTCTCATGCAAGTGCTGGGCAAGCTCTTCGCAGCGTGCCTCGCAACCCGAATGGAGATGAACCAACGGCCACCGCCGCGGGATGATGGCCATAAAGAAAAAAGATTGAAAAAAGGGCAGTTGCGGCAGCGAGAATGAATCTTCCCCATCAGGCTTTGGACTCCGCGCTCTGTTCACCCGCATCTGGCACCTGCCTCTGCGGCTGCTTGGAGTTCTTCGAACGCGGCCGCAATGTTAGAGCGGGCCTATGTGCAACCAAAGCACGCGAGTACCAGGTTCCCAGGCCCTAGTATTTCATCATGCAAAATTTGAAGTGGCCGCGGCATAGTAGAAACATCCAATGAAAGCGAAAAATGCAGATTCAGCAGCCTGCATGCAGGCGAGCTCCGACGACTCCAGGCCTTAGCCCGCCCAACGGATGTTGCAGGGACTTCCGAACGCCCGAATCCTTCCACTTCATTGCTGGACCTATGACCTGTGCAAGCAGGAGGCTTTGGTTCAGAACCTTCAGCAACGCTTGGTCATCGAGGAGCTTGTTGCACAGCGCCTCGATGATGTCTTTAACACGCTGCCGGTGTTCCCTTAGGGGACAGCATGACAAGCAGGGAGCGCAAAACTGGGTTGCCAGCAAAAAAGTTAATGTAAGTCAACATAACAAAGAAGTCCCATTGTTTGCTATACACCCATATCCTGCTAACTTAATCTACAACTAGGTTCCCTAAAATTACAAGCTCCCACACCAATCGGCTTGCCAGCAACTACTAATTGCTGCTGTGGAGCTCGAAGAGAGAAGCAGACGGCAGCTTGTACCTGGCCAGAAAGACCCCAGCTAGTTGGATAAGGCAGAGATCAACCAGATAGAGTGAAGAAAGAACAGAAAGAGAGGGGAGAGGACCAAAAGAGCGCAATGTTGTGGCCTGTGCTGCTGGTGATCCGTTCCTTGTTTCAAGTTTTCCCACAAGACGTATGGAACTTGTTGCATGCACGTTCCAGCTCGTCAGCTCGTCGGCTCATCTCGGCTTTTGAAAACTGAAAGCCCAGGCTCGCGCACACTGCTGGCATATCAGCTTCTCGCAATCTTCACCTAGCACACATCACTGCAGCAGCACTGGAAGATCTAGGCAGCTCATCGCATCCAAGTTGCAGTACAAGTCATACCGGCTGGTGCGGTGAATAGCGCAGTACTGTGCACGATGCATGTTTCGAACCTGCGACAGGCGCTTGAAAATTTTGCTGGAGCTTCAGAACCACAAAGATCTTTCATGTTTGTTCGTAAGTGCACTGAACAGTTGCAAACATGAAAACAAGCTGAATGGGAACGTGCGCTTGCTTAGTTTGTAATTTCTGCCGCCATTCTTGGCTCGTCTGCAGTTGCTGGATCCCCTTCCAGGTTTTGCTCATGTCGTAATGCTGCCCTAGTCCTTGTTTAAGAATCTTCTTGCCACTGGCTCGGCTTAGGCTCTCGTGCTTATACGTGTGAGAACTAGTGCTCCAGGCAAGAACTATCCAACGACTACGTTGTCCGAAACACGACAATGGCGCCAAATACTGCTACACTGACCGTCTGCTGGCATCAGGATGGCCTGTGTGGCCTGGCTCTCGTCTTCATTGTTTTCTCTCTCCACCGTCTCCACTAGCTTTACGAGAACGTGGTTGGCTGATGCTCGGGCTCTGCGATGCCTTCGAAAGGCAAGGATCACCATGGGAAATGGTTAGCCGGTTCACCATCAAACCCCGGTCACGCGTTTTGTGGGCAGCTTGCTTGACAAGACGCTGCTTGGCGCAGCGCTCACATAGGTTCATGATGCAATCCTCGCAGTAGGTCTCAGCTCCTTGGCACACCAGCAAGCAACAATCTGTCATGTGCAGGTCTCTTGCGCAAGTTGAAAGTTTCTGATAATCTGCTTACTCAAAATCTCTTGGGGAGAACTGGTCCACGGCTGGGCCGCCCTACTGCTTTACCAGGGCACGGAAGCCTGAGATGCACTCCTCGCACAGGAAGTCGCTCTGCGCCACCTTCTGGCTGTCGATGGTGTGCAGCATGTCGAAGTGCGGAAGGTACTGGTGCAAAGCTTGCCTCAAGAGGTGCTATGAACTTGCTGCTATCTGAGGTGGCCACCGAAGCAATGTAAGTCAGGACAAACGCTTCCAAAAAGCTCGAGTTGGAACTTGCAACCGCATCAACGGCTGGACAGTAAGCCTTCAAATCTGAATGCCTGCCGTGCCGGGTGACATCTTCTGAGTGCGGCGACCGCACTGTGGGCAGTCGAAGGCATCTCCCGTGCTACTGGCAGCGAGATTCTGCAGGCAGGCAGCGCAGACGGAGTGGAAGCATGGCCTCAGCTCAGCTTCGGAAGCTACCTCTGGCCAGGGAAGATGAAGAAGCAGTCCAGCTAAGTACGCCAAGTTAGGCCAAGTTCTTGCACATGCGTGGAGTCTCTTGCAGGGATGCCATGCTCACAAGAATACGCATGCGTGAGGCAGAGTCCCCCGACAGATTGGAATAAAATGTACCCCGATGCAAAGACCGCAGTTCTTGAAGGACAGGCAGGCTACAAGACTGCATGCAAAAGAAAACACGCAATCTTTGAGCGGAGTTCTTCTCTGCGGTGGCTCAATGCAGAAGTGGTAGCCAAAGTTGTGCTTCTAAAATCACTCCTCCACTTCTGAATAAACTTTCCTCCCTCAAAACCAAAGCTTCAGGCCCGCTGCAGGACCTTCACTTCATGGCGCCCTTCATAGAGCGCCGTGTCGTGTAGACTTCGCTTGCACATGACGCAGCCCACCTGGAGATTCTCAGGTACGTCGACAGTAATGAAGGCGCTTTTGCACAGCGACTGTCAGAATTAGTTCGTGTTATGTCATGTACTATTTGTTCAATTCTGAGTGCATGCGTCAGCTGCTGCATCTGGTTACTTATCACGGCAAGTGCCGTTGTCATCCGCACCCAATCGAAGCTTCTACGTAGCTGCAAGGGTGCACGCCCCCTGCCTCGTGTGTAGATGCATCATTCACATAATCGAAGAACTCTCCTTTGCCAGCTGCCAGCTGTTGGATCAAGGAGTCAACTTCTGGGCACACCTGCACAAGCAGGTTTGCAAGGAAACGAACGCAAAGAAAAGAATGACTGCACTGCTTCTCAAAAGGAACTCGAATTTAATTCCAAGTCCAGTCAAGGAGGGAACCCCTACAGCCTTGCCAAAGTCATCCCCAAATCCTCACCACCTTAAGCCTGGCCCGGCAATGCACTTGTGCCTCCTGCCACCTCTTACGCCTCTTTTGCTTCTAGCTCCCGCCTCGGAGTTGAATCGCTTTTCCAGCACCTCAGGGCGTGCCCTGGGCACCACGTTCTCTCCCAGGCCAAAGCTGTCCAGCCTGGCACTGAGAATCTTCTGGCCGGTCGCTTGTGGATACGCTTTCTGCTCCCCAGCCTCGAGGACAGCGGCCCAGCCGCAGCGGCCGCACGCTCAACCGCCTGCGCAGCACCCACGGAGGCATCGGAGTCCAGGATGCCCCCAAGGAGGCCGAGGTGACCCGACTTCCAGCGAAGGCCCTCAGACTGCGTGCATACCATACCATCAACTAAAACAACCGGAAAGCCCTGATCCCGACAACGAAGACCGCAGCTCACAGTTGAAAGCAAGAACATTGCCCCCTTTGCCAAGGCTCTGCTGAAGAAGGCTGCGACCTGGGGATCCAGGAGTTCGTGCAAAGTAGGTGACAGTAGATACATTCTTTCAAGCGCATGCAAGTAGCGCGGCAGAGGATGACCGAGACTCCAAACACTTGGGACTTCCCGCCATGAAGTTTCGTCACTCTGCCTCTTGGCCTTCTGAAGCCATGGCTGGTGACAATGGCCTTCCACTGAAGAGGACCAGGGATGACAAGGATAAGCAATGCCAAAGCTGATGCCGAGGCGTTTGGTGGCAGTGGCGACTGTGATGGGATTGCACTAGGTCAGCTGGCGCTAGACTCTTAGGATTCAATCAGCCTTGTGCAGGATCTTTATGCTTGTGATGGGGGGGTTGCGGCCACGTGCTCTGGGCTATGGCACTAAGCTGTACAGTAACCTGCGCCACGCATGCATGCTCCAACAACCGACGCAGTGCACATCTCTCCCCATGGCCGAGTGCCGTTCTTCAAACTTTTTTCGACGCTGCTGCCAGAGCAATACTGAACGCCCAGCTCCGGCGTTTTTAGTCATGATGTCATGCAAGATGACCTTCTGCAGAATCCAACAACTTCTGCTTCATTAGATAGTTAGTTAAAGAGGTCCATCGTCTGAAAAGTAGTGGCTGCTGTCCATTTGAAACAGGTCAACGACTGCTCCAACACAAGACTTGGAGCGCAAAGGCCCTTCATCAAGCCTCCTCGTCGTCCAGCTTCCAACGTGGTTGAATTGGTCACGCCCGCTGGCTGAAAGAGCGCAGTCAGAAACGAGCCTGCGCGTGCCACCTTGCTTAGGCCACCGTGTGGGCAAATTCGTGCCGTTGGCAGAAGTCCACACACACATGGCCAGCATTGTAGGTGTCACCGGCTGCTACTCTTGTTTTCGGAGAGCTGAAGGTCACGGGAAGTTGGCATAGTGGGGATAACGAGGCTCATCTCGCTCATTTTTCCTGAACAGGAGAAGTCTACAGTCTCCAGCTCCTGAGGTCAGCCCCGCCTTGCGTAGTGGCTTCACGCGGGTGCTCAGCAAAAGCAGGCTGGTGTTGCCTGCAAGCGCAATGCAAAAGGTAGCTCGGCACAAGTCTTCAAGGAGGGCTGCAAATGACTTAGAAATGGGAGCTTGGATGCAAGGTATGCTCGAGGTTCCCCAGATCTTTGCAGCCTTCGAAAAGAAGCTTGGTCTCAGCATGACGCACCCAAGCAATGCCCAAATCCTGCATGCAGGACCCTGTTCCATGCTCTCGCGTCACAGCGACAGCTGCAAAGCAAACAACAGCGTGTCCTTGCTGGAGCTGACAGCGCAGCCATCCTCGGCGCCGGCAGCTTGGGATGGAAGCGCCGCATCAGCAATGGCCCTGTGCACACAGCAGACCGACTCAGTGACTCACACATTTGCGTTGATTTGGACAGGGCCTGTCGTCGGTCACAACGACCAGCCCGGCTCTGCGCTGCGCCCGGCCCCGTGGTTGGAGGACCTCGAAAAGGCCGAGAGCCGAGATGGAAAACTGCACGTGGCAACACCCCAAGGCCCACGCCCGTCGGCACTCGGCAAGCGATGCAGTGTAGAGCCTGCACTAACCAAACCCTGTAACATGATGCAGCCGAGCAAGCTGGGCCTTGCCAGTGCATGTGGCCCAGGTCCGAAAAACTTGCGAGCTGGCGGGTGCAGCAGCATCCTGTCCTTGGATACTGGCGCAGTGCGCTCTGGTCTACGCAGCCCATAGCATCTGGATCCAGGCCCGTGCAGCACAGAATGCCCTCAGAGGTAGTCTCCTCGCATCCCAACGTACCAGGTCGATGCGTGAGCGCCTCTCCGAGCGAAGCAGACGACATCACAGTTGCACATTTGTAAGCATGGAGCTCTCGCGCATTCCGCTGTTTCACACGTGCTCTGGCGCTTCTGGGTGCTGGCGTCTAAACCGACCCAGCGTTGTAGCTTTTGTTTTGTTGTCAGGGACGCGGTGGCCCACTAGACTCATGCTCCCTCTGCAGCCCCTGCGTATTTGACAACTCTTGACGAAGACATCTGAGGCCTCATTACACTTCGAACATTTTCTGCAAACGAGGAACACGCAGTCCCAGGCGTCTGAAACAACCCATTTTCAGCAGGGCTTTGCCCTCAGGCTAGGCGATGGATCAGGTGGGCACCCCTTTGCGAGATGACAATGTCACTGATCGCCCCGACCTTGGCTACGCGACTCCCATGTCATGAGGCTTTCCGACATTCAGACCTAGGTAGGCTTTTTGCCAAACACTAGTCATATCTATACTGGCAACTTTAGGGGCACATGAGGCATAGTGTAAACTCGTAGCATCCCCCTTAGTAACCCCTCTAAACTCCCCCATAAATCCCCTCTATAACCCCTTTGAGGAATTTAGACTATAGCTCATATAGCTTAGAACCTGCATAGAAACTGTAGTTCGACTTTAGAAGCTGAGAGGCGGGGAGGTCGAAGGCTGCAGCTTCGAAGTCTTTGTCAGATTGGCCTGACTACTTGGGGGGTTTCCGAAAATTAGGGGTACCTTTAAGGGGATATAAGGGTTTTTTAGGTGTTACTTACGGTTTAGGGTTTAGGGTTTAGGGTTTAGGGTTTAGGGTTTAGGGTTTAGGGTTCCCAAATTAGGGGTATCTTTTTGAGGGGCCCCATAAGAAGGATTATAATATTTTGGAGCCTGTATAATTGGGGTCCCCTATTTTGTGGGAAACTACCACTTGCTACTTTACCGGGACTTTACCCGTTGACCCTAGAGGGATTCCAGAAATTAGGGGTTGCTCTTGGGGGATCCCTGTGAAAAGGATGATACGGTGTATTGGATTCAATTTTGGGTTTCACTTTTCATGCAAGCTACCACTGGTAATGTTGACTTCACATTAGGGACTCGACCCACGTTCAACAAATCCCGCCGCTGGAACACAATGATAACAAGACCACCATTATGACGTTCCCGGATAGCAAGAGTTTCTCTGGGTCAATGATTTCACTGAGATGTCGATTGCTTTTGTGTAGAGTCTCCAACCTACATTTTGGCCAATATTATTCCGGGGCCCCCCTGAAATGGAGAAGGATCAATCCAGAGAGGGTACGGCGGGGAGGGGGAAGGGGGGGGGATTATAAATGCAAAGTCAATATTAGAGCACAACCATGATGGCGACTGGCCCCTCCTGGCACGATCCAGCCCATGTCAGCAAGAGCGCCGCTGTTGGCTGAGTTGCAGTCAGAATTAGCCTGACGACCAGGGACCGATTGCTGGGCAAGAGCGAATGATGCAACAGGCCGAGGAAGAATATCTGCCTTGCAGAGCCTCAAGCGACAAAACATGGTAACACCATGGGAACTCACTCAACACTAGCGCAAACCGGGAAGATGCCGAGAATCACACTCTGCAAACTTGGCGGTGAGCTTCTTGCTGGCATCTGGCGTGCCCTGCGGCATTGCGTTCAAGACCTGGTCACGTGCAAGGCACCATCACGGGTTCATCATCTCCCCTGCATCCCGCCACACGAAAGCCTGCAGCAATTTGAGTAGCTCCTTCTCAGCATCCTCAGCATGATTTGCCAGTCGCAGCTCTACAACAAGACTTGGACCGACTTCGCTGCATCTAAGCCACTGCCTGAGTTCGGCCCTTCTTCGCCGCGCGACGCGCGTTGCTATCGTGGGCAGTGAGTGCTTCCCACTTCATTAGAATATGTGCCACGCGGATGCCTGCAGGCCACGAAGTAAGCTTCGTTGCTATATCTGCTGCATGTATCTGTCTGAGCTGAAGTGCAGTCCATGGCACGGTTTGGCATTCCACCACCCGGCTGTGGACCGACAACGACGGCCACTTCCTTTTCTGGCGGTGCTTTCCTGTGCCAAAATGTTGCCACGAGTGCGCTGCGTGCTGCTTTCTGATTGTCGTAGCAAGCTCTCGGAAACAATGCCGTAGTGGTCACATGTACTAACATTTGATTTCCTGCTGGTCACGCCTCTTTTTCGTGTCTGTCTCGTTCTCTGCTGGCTGAGGAGTCTCCTCTGGAGCCTTGAGCGTGAAGAAGGCCGTCAAAATGCCTCGTCAATGTCTCGCTACCCGCACAACCCCGCAACCAGCAGTCGAGCCCACGGCCTAGCGACTCGGACCCCTCTTTGGAGGAACCTGCCAAGACTTCGCTTTTGCCCTTGGAAACAGACTGATGAGTGGCGACGAGGGGGCCTTGCTTCTTACAAGAAGCCGCCAGCTGCGTTGCGACTGCCTTCGGCCGGCCCTGCAAACACATCCATCATCACCCCTCTCTCTATCTCTCTACAGCGACTCGGTCAACGTCAGCGCCGAATGTGCTCGTTCTCAGAACTGAGCAACCTACAGTACAAAAAACAACTGCAGAACCAGCCGATGCAAGCCCCTTGACCATGGCTGGCAGCCTTTCTACCAAAAAAGCAGCTTCAATTTCATGAGTTCCTGTTGTCTTCCAGCTTTTTTTCAATTTATCAATTCTGGGCCTGATGCTCGGCCACAGCCTCGCCAATCTGAGCATGGGTCAAATCGTTGGCCCCATCCGTCAGGAGAAGCAGGCAGCAGGAGCTTCCTCGGATGCAAACACAAGCGGCTTGCTGCTGGAGTGTGTAATGCTGCTTCGCAGTTGGAGCTAAGCCTGGCACCCGGCTCTATCCGGAAGACCTCTGCACTAAACTCGAGGCCAACCAGCCTGATGACGAGAAAAACATCAACAGCTCAGCGTCAACAGGCAAAGCAGGGGCCTTCGCGGCCGCTTGAGGTCTCGCAAGCCTAGCGCGGAGGGAACCTCCACGCCTCGCGAGTTCGTCTATGGCGGCTGAAGCACGGCAATACCTACTTAGTGGACCCACTTCTAACTGTCAGTCATAGAGTCATAGACATCCCCTTATTCGCAGACACTTGCTCCTATGCCAGTCGCAAGCAGAACCATGGATCTTGCCGCAATGCAGCTTCGACGCCTCGAGCATTGGTGGGCGGCGTCCATAGAGGGGTTACCGGCCGAGCAGCGGCATCGATAATCTCCCTTAAGATCTCCCAACCTGAACAGCATCACCACGGCAGCCCCAAGATATGAGCACAACCAAATGGATCCGCATGCTGTCCCCAACCTCGCGAGGCGTCAGCTGGGCAAAAGGCAGCCACGCCACTGAGAACGGCCTCACGGCCAACTTTGAAGTCTGATATCGCTTCCCAGCTTCAAACTTCACTTCAGACAAACCTTTAAGTCCGTTCTGAGTTCACGTAGCCTCGAGAAGTCCAACAGTCCGGCTGTTCAAGTCTAAACATGCACAAGCGTACACACCTCATAACAAAACACCTTTAGCTGCAAAAAGCCATCCGTGCTTTGCATACACCATATGGCGCCTAGGCCTAGTCACTGTCAGGCTGGATTGATCACTGCTCGTGTCTGCGAAGCTTCAAGAAAACAAGCCTGATACCGGACTTGCACGGCGCCGTTAGCCACGGCCTCCAGGGGATTCACTGCTTCGGAGTATAAGTTGCCGTGTGCAGTTCAACAGAGAGCTCTGTGTGCTCTTGAGTTTAGGACAGGATCTTGGGCGGTGTTTTGGATTTCAAGGGCTCCAGTGCTGCGGAAGCGGCAATTTCAGGGTTTCATGGGTCTTGTTTGGTTGTTTGAATGCTGTGTCGAGGGAAAGGGGGGTTAGCTCAGTTGATTACAAACTCGACAGAAGCGATGGGCCTTCAGCCTTAAAGGCCCACCCTTGGCGGTAGCGTGGCAACTTCCAAGGCCCCTGTCTGTGATGTGGGGCTACCAGAACAGCAATTTATCATAGGCATTCTGGCAGGCTGTGGGGCTTCCGGAGCTGCTGATCGAAAAAAGACAAAGAGCACAGACTACTGTGACAACTGCATATCCGAATTGCACACGCAACAAGACAATGACATCCTGGGCGCTTACTCCTCACCCCGCCTCGCCGCAGCCTGGAGGAACTGCTAGGAACGCAGCAGCTCGCTGCTGGCTCACGATCCCGCCCTCCTCATCCAGGACATAGAAAAGCTCCGCCAGCCTGCACAGAAGCGAAACACTGAAACAAGGCAAACCCAAAGCAGGACTGTAGTCGAGCTGCTGCTGGGCACCGAAGATATCTTGTGCCAGCATCTTGTCGATTGCTTCGCCAGCCGCCTGACATACAGCCCGCAATTTGCCAGTTTGCAGCACACAACGCTGTTTGCATGAACCGCTTGCATGAACTGCTTGCATGAGCTGCTTACTGCACAAAAACTGGGTTTACGAGGAAAAGTGCCCTGTAGTGTTGTCAAGTTCATGTCGCAATGGGCGGGCCCTGCCTTGACACGACTTCGAGCGGATTCTGTCTGCAGGTTGCCCTTTTGGGGCCCTAGCAGTGTCTCGAAAGCCTGCAAAAAAGGCAAGGCTGCATACAGTTGCAACCTGCATCCTGGCAAATCCCAGCCAGGGCGGGTCAGAAAGTCACGCGCACCTCCACTGCATTTTTGCCTGCGCCGGCGGCCACCGCTTCTGCCAAGCTGAGGCCCAACGCCGCATAGGGATGCGCCGCACGAAGAGCCTTACCAGAACTTGAAGTGGACTGCTCCAAACTTTCAGATCTTTCAAAGGTAACAATGCACAGGCCGTGTGGGCTAAGACCATACCTTCAGGCCCCTGCCCTTCGCACGGCACGATCGCGGTCAGAAGGCTCCTTTGCCAGCATCTCCTGGCTCGAATTCACCACTCGTCAATGTGGTCTATAATAGAGAATTGGCATATTTAGTGGGGGGGGGATGGGGGGCTTTGATATTAGGGGGTGGGGATTAAACTACTCAAACATGGCCATACATCCATTGGGAGGGAAAACGCCGCTTTGATCCTCAGACTTCTCAACGAACACCTGTGCCTCAGCAAGCCTTGCACTGCACTTTCATACGGAAAGTAAAATGTACAGGGATTATAGGGATTATAGGATGATATAGGGTTATATAGGAATAATGGAGAAGAAAATGGAAGCTACTATGCTTTTTTCCACTCACGGCACTGTCAGTCAGATTTCCTCGCACATCCTCGTCACGATCGTGTCATGTCATGAGGACATGCCAGAAATCCAAGTTCCCCTGGGCCGTCTGGAACAGGGCTGCATCCTTCCCTCCAACTCTCCCTTCATCCGCACATTTCTTTATGTCACCACATGGCCCAGCGCCGCTCCTGATTTCTCTACAGAACGCACGAGAATGTATGATACGGAAATGATATGGCAGGCTTCCTGCGAGCTCCCTGTGCATGGTCCTGCCTGCATCGAGCCCTTCTTGTTTCAATACACCGTTCTTTGGAAAAATTGTTCAGGGAGTCGCACCAACTGGCTGGGAAGTTAGAATCAGCTCTTGAATGCAGGGCACCCTTCCAAACCTCTCTTTGCAATGAACACCCTTTATTTCAACAACCCGCATAAACACTAACAAAAGTAATCCTTACTCCAACAGAAAGATGGCAGAAGTGGTGTAATCCCCTCCCCTAATATCAAAACCCTCGCCCGACCCCCTAATTTAAATATTCCCAAATATATAATATAATATAATATGTGAGCCAAGATCTAGACTTTTAGTATCCCCTTGCTAAGCCCTATTCTACTCCCCTATAGAAACCCCATACAAACCCCCTTAAGGAGTTTAGACTATAGCACATGAAAAAGGGGGGCCTGGGGAAAACGGAGACCCTAAACCAAAAAGGCCTGAACCCTAAACCCTAAATCCTGAACCCTAAACCCTAAAGCTTGAAGGCCTAAACCCTAAACCCTAAACCCTCAACCCCACCCTAACGCAAGGCCTGGCTGGCCGAGGCCGATTGCAGCTCATCCCCCGGTCGCCCCTCGTAGTCGAGAGGTCCGTAGGCCTCCGGGCGATCCAGGGACTATGCCCTATGTAACCCCCATATAATCCCGGGTTTAGGGTTTAGGGCCCCATATGATCCCGATATGGGGGTTTCCTGAAAATTAGGGGTATCTTTCTTTGTGGGGTCCCCATAGTAAGGATTGTAGTGTTTGGGGGGGTCCCCCTATACACGAAAACTACCATATAATCCCCATATTATGTTAAATATCGGCCTACAGGAAAACATTATATAGCACCCTCTATAATCACTTGCCCTGCTTAAGAGGCCTTTGTCCACATGGATTGAAACAGGACCTACAGCCGTCGTCCGAAGAAAGGACCTAAGAGACGGAGGGTTTCTCCATTTGAAGATGATTGGGTTCGCAAGTTGCAGACACGCTTGCACAGAGCCCACATGTTTCAACGGCGGAGTGTGATTCGGCAAGGATGTCTGCACCCGTGCGCTTAAGTGGCTGTTGGCGACAAAGATTGTTGGAATTTGCATACGCAAAGCTGCACAGGCTGCTCACAGACCAAAGGCGGCCCGGGTCTCGCAGCAGCTGACTTCAACTTCAAAATTGTCTTTGCATCAACTTGGCCACCTTTAACTGGCAACTGCTTTGCATGCATCTCGCATCCCAAGCTACTAACTCGTTCCGATAGTCTTTGTGACAGTCTTGCTGCCTCGGCCCTGCGCCGTCGCTGGGACCTCAGCTTAAAGTTCGTGCCCAGCCAACAACTGCACCTCATGTGGCTTCACATGCTGTCATGTCGATCATTCAGCTCAAGCACGCCAGAACTTCTAGCTTCGTGTGGCCCGGGAGTCCACCTGCACAAGCGTTTCTTTAGCCCAGGACTGAGCTGCACATGCTGATGTCCATGTAACAATGGCTGTAGCAGTAGCAACCGGATCGTTGGAAAAGGGTTCAGCCTGCGAATAGCCAACTGGGCAAATAGCTTCCTCAGCGAGGCCTTCTACAGCGCGGCAGCTCCACGCGGTGCGAACAGCGGGGCCCTTCTTGGCCGGTGGCTCTTCTGCAGGCGGCGAGCACACCACCGCGCGGCAGCCGCCTGGGATACGCTCTCGGCCAAACATGGCCATTCATACCCGCGCTGTTACTTGCTACAATATTACTACATTACTGTACATGAATAATGTTACCAGAGCATGAATAAAGGGGGTGACAATAGCGTTTTGTTGCCGGGCCGGGGAAATCCCGGACAATCAAATTTGCTTTCTAACAAGTTTGGAGCTCGACAAGGTCTACTTAAGGCCCATCGGCAATAATAAAGGGGTGGCAATAACATTTTTTTCCGGCCAGAAACATCCCGATCTTGTTAGATTTCCTTTTACTTGTACTACTGGTACTACAAGCTGCACTACCTAGTCCTACCGCCACCCACGTCATTTATTATGACGACCCACCCTTCCATAAGTCCGGATCGCAAAACAAGTTCTGGGGAATGGTTATTGCCGTGGTAGCATTAGATTATTATGCTATTATATTCGTAGCATATTACTATAGTTCAATGCTACCATCTTACCAAAATGCTATATCACTACATCCCAAACCTCAGCTACGATCTTTCCAAGGCCCCGGCCCATACTGCACATGATCAGCCGTCTGCCCAACAACAAGGCCACGGCCAAGCTACAGCCAGCGTAGCGGGCTGGACTCTCCTCAAACATCACATACTGGTACGGGAATAACGTAAAATAGTACTACAGTTATATGACATTGTAGTAGCAATTTAGTGCTGTGGTAATATGATAACAGAATAGTTTAGTTGCAGCTGCAGGGCCATGTATCTCAAGGTATCTGAAACGTCTATTCATTACCACGGCTTGATGCGGCCCCGGGCTCTAGCAGTGCGTGGTCCAGGTGCTCTAAGGCCTCTCAGGGCACAACTTCCGCGAAGCCCTGAAGCCCTGCAATTCCCATGTACACCTGTGGCAATGCCGGGCCTCCCTCACCACAGCCACCAGCTCGCTGTCTTCTGGCTCTGAATGGTATGCCTCAGCTGACTGCTTGAAGCAGCTCAAGAGACTTAGGCTGTTGTTAAGCCAAGGTGCCGAAAGGCGCGGCAGTAGGTGCGTGTGAAACCTCTTCGCACACCATTCTGCTGCGAGGTTCGACTGCCGGAGCCCATCAACGAGTAGGAAAAGAGCCGCCGGCTTATCCATGAAGGGCAGAGGTCTCAGTGTGATAGTCAAGTAAGTATTTTCCACTCGGTCAGGGAAGCTGCAGATCAGGAGGCTTTCATTCATTGCTTGCAACAAACCTTCACATGCCTTCGCATGCAGACTTACAACGGTGTGGATACATGCGCCAAGCCACTGCTTCAGCAACGAAGCTGTGCGAGACAACTCAGGCAGAATCACTGCCATGTCATCCTTGCGACCGCTGGATGTCGGCAAGCACACAGACCCATGAGCCATCTTCATGGGGTGCTCCTCAGACAGGGCGCTGTCTAAGAAGCGTGCGACTGTTGACGAGAGTTGTTTGACTCTACAAAAGGGATTCGACGCATGCATGAACATGCTTGTGCACAAAAATGCCAAGCTCCGGCAACTAACAAGCCCATGTTGAAAGGGTTCACCACGAAGAAAAGGCTTGACAAGGCCACCAAACACCAGGACCACTACCACACAAGCAACTGAAATTATCTTGAAGCCTAAGCCATATGAGCTGTAGTCTTAACTCCTATTATCCCCCTTAATCAGCCCCATGATCCCCTGTATAACCCCTGAGGTCAGACTATAGCTTATATTCCCTGCGGTCCTCGGATGTATGCGGCAGACCGGTCTGAAGCCATCGGCTTTTGGCTGGCACGTAAGTCACCTCCGACGAGCGGTTCCGATAATATTTGCCTCAGGTCAGGGCACTATGGGCACTCCAGGGCCAGCCACCTTGATTACTATTGCTTTTGCTATTATTACTTCTATTACTATTTCTACTACTATTACTGCTACTATTATTGATAATACTATTACTGTTACTATTACTATTACGATCTATCATGATGAACATTGTTACTGTAAGGGCCGTTTTTGCTACAGCAGCTAGCTGCTCCATCTGCCCATGCCGCGGGGATAAACTCAGCCCGGCCATTAACATTTTCAGAAGTGGAGAGGAGAGGAGAAAACATGCTTCAGGAGTTGATATACCATAATGTACTACAATATAATATACTAGCATAAATATTATAGTATACTATAGTATACTAGAATTGGGCCTAGCATGAGCTAGAGTAGCTAGAGGACCGCGAGCTGGGCAACATAGGCTGGAATATCCAAGCGGCCAGTGAACGCATTGAAGAACAGAAACGGGACCTTGACTCGGGTTATATGGTAATATTGGGATAATGGAAAAGAAAACGGAAACTACAGGGATTATAGGGGTTATATTGGGGTAATATAGGAGTAGTATAAAGTCGTGCACGCAAACGGCCAAACAGGAGCCACGCATGAAAAAGTCCTGGGCCGCCGACATGTTTGCCTTCCTGATTCTGGCGCTCATGCCTCTCGTAAGAGAAGTCTTGCAATCCAGCGGCTACTTCAGCCATCCTGTTGCAGCTAAGCTGCATGTACCAAATGCCCGGCTGGCGAGGCACGGGCGTCTGAGCCTGGCAGGCCCCACCCCCTAACCCTTACCAGAAATGGAAAAGAAAATGGAAACTATCATTCTAGGGTTTAGGTTTTTGTAAGCGCTGCGTTTTGAATGCGTAGCAACAGACGCAAGTACAATCTGTTGGCCTGCACAGCAGCCCAAGAGGGACCAACAGGGGCAAAGTTCTCCTCGTAATCTCTCCTGCATGCCGGTGTGATAAGGTGTTGCGACCCAGAGACATGTTGCCGAAGTAATGTTGACCGAACGTGACCCTGTCTCCTCTTGTTGTTGGCCTGAAACCACTCTGCGGTGGACTCAAACGTCTCTTTCTTCGATTGCTGTGCCGCAATAAACTCCGGCAGCAGGTTCTCAGAAGTCTCCAGGACGTCGTCTCCTGCAAGCTCCTGCCAAGGTGAATGCTTCACGGGCCGAACGGGTCAAAAGAAAAAACAGAACGAAGGTATTCCTGGACCGTCCACTGCTTAGTCTCCAAGAAGTAGCACCGTCTCCAGATCTGCCAAGCAGAATCTTGTCCAGGCTAAGCTCTTTAGATCCTTTCATGGAGAACAGCGGCCTCTTGCAGGTTGAAGCGCTTTTCAAAGCTTCTGAAAGCCAAGCGCTTCAAGTCACCTGAGCGCATTTGACGTCTCGAAGCTGCCGAGGCTGTGTCCATGTGCGCCTTAAACCGAGAGATCAACATTTTGTGGTGGTTGGTGTGAAGGGGGGAGGGGAGTGCACCACCATCCCCCCCCTCCAGCATCACGTCCAGGCACCACAC